CGCCGCCCGCCAAAGTTGCGGAGGGCGGGGGCTGCGGCGCCGCCCGGGGCCCGCCCACTCTGTCCGCGGGGCGCCCGGACTTTTGGGGAGCTCTGCGCCCGGGGCGAGCGACCTCGCCGGTGGAGGGATGGCCGGGTCTCGGGCTCTGCGTTGGCCCTGCGGTCCCACTCGGTGGCGATCAGTCGGTGGTCCCTGTCGCGCTGGGCGCCTCGGCACGGCCCTTCGGAAAGGACAGACCCAGGAGGGGGCACCGACCGGACCGAGGCCCCCCGCGTCCCGTCGGTCCATCAAGCCGTCCCTGAGGGATATAACTCGAGGCCCGAGGCACACACGGGCGGGGAATGCGCCCAGAACCCCCATCCCATTCTCTGCTCTGGCCTCGGACCCGAAAGCAACCCCCCACCCACCCCCGACCCCGCACAGAGGTCGGGATTCCCCCACTTTGTGACCCAGAGGCCTGGCCACTTGCAGCTGCCCAGAGGGCAAATCCTGGCGTCTGGGATGGAGTAGTGAGAGAGAGGGTTGGTCATGAGGCCAGAGCTGCCTGGGCCCTGGGTCCTGGCCACTGACCCCGCCCTGAACCCCTTCCTGAGCCGCGCCCAGGGGTGGGGGCCGTGTTTTCAGCAGCTGGCCTCCCCCCGCCACAGTGGCACGGCTTCACGGGCAAGAAGAGCCATCTGGCAATGAAATGATGTGGATCCCGGCTCAACTCAGGAGCCGTGGGTTCTCATCCCTGGTGTGCTGCGCCACCCTGGGCAAAGCACAGCCCCACCCTGAGACTCTCGGCCATCGCTGGGGTGGTGGTGAGGCCACCCACCTGGACACTCGTGGTTGAGTTCTGGACCTGTGTTCACTAGGGCAGCACTGGGCAGCTGCCCCATGGCCCAGCCCCCGCCTTCGCTGGGTGCCACCCCCAACTGGAGAGTGCAGAGAGGATCCCCCAGGCCTTCTGCAGAGCTCAAACCTGCCCCTTCCCCGACTGAGGAGGAAGCCTGGGGGGCCAGACCAGGGGCCAGCCCACGGAGAGAAGCAGGAGAGGAGCTGGCCTCCGGGACACACCCCAGGCCCTGTGAAGAGTGGTCACAGCAGGAGTAAAATCGGGCCAAGTGACCGGGGAGCTCCAAGCTACCGTCCAGGCGTCCTTCCTTTGAGGAGCCCACGTAGGGAGGAGCCTGCCTCAGAGGGGTGCGATTGAGCCTGTTTGGCCGGAGGCAAAAGCAGGTAACCCCTGCCCCAGCATGCCCCACCCCCCGCCAGGAGTGGAACCACAGGACGTAGCCTGAACCCCAGCCCCTCCAGCCCCCACTCTGAGAGCCTTGCAGGCACCTTCTGCAGCGCCCCCTCCCCCTCTGTAGAGCGGAGAGCCTGGCACTCCATCAGAATTGTTTGTGAGGGGCCAACAGGACATCATGGAGTTTTTGTGCAGGGCCTGGGGCAGAATGGGGCTCCTGCAGCTCTTCACCTGGGGTGCCCTATTCTGGTGCCCCCTTAATGCCTGTGTCTCTCGCCCACAGGTAACCGCCTCAGCAAGAAAAGGGCCTCTGTCCTCGCCGCCTTCATGGCCTTCCTGCCTGGGCAGAGACCCAACCAAGATGATGAGCCCGGCCCTGGGACATAGGCACCCCCTGCTGACCATGCAGACGGTCGTATGCTGCCCCCTGGTGGCTGCGGAGGGCACTGTCACCACCTGGCTGCCCAGCTGGACGGGGAAGCTGGGGTTTAGCCTTGAGAATGGTCACACCGGGAGACTCAGACCTTGCTGCTGTGCGGTCCTGAGCCAGCCACAACCCCTTCAGCATTCCCAGTTTCCCATCTGGACATTGGGAACATGTGTATCTCACAACGTCCTTGGGAGACTCTGCAGGCAAGCTGGACAGGAATGGATGGATGGATGGATGGATGGATGGAAACTTGGCGGAGACTCCCTCCCTGGCACTTGGTGTGGGTGTGATGAGCAGGTCCAGACTGTACCAACTCAAAGTATGGATCAGAAAGAGGGGACACTTGTCCAGAAAACCCTACTGCCATCCTCATGCCCTGGGACCCAGAGCTGTTTGCCAGGACCACCTGTGGCACACCTCTGGGGGGGTGCAGAGCTCCCATTGCATCCTGTGGACATGGTGCCCTGGAGACGTGCTCACAGACAAGGAAATGGTACCCTCGAGGCTGCACTTCAGCTTGGCCCACCTTTAGCACAGCCAGTGATTGCTTCAGTGGGAGGGAGAGACTCTTGTGCTGAGCGTCAGGGCAGCCCACAGGAGAGCCGGGGAGCTGGGCCCCCAGCCCGGCGGGCAGGGAGTGCCAATACCAGCCATGTACCCCAAAGTAGACAAGGAAGGTCACAGCCCCCTCTCCCCACCTCACCCACCCACCGTTGCCCCCTTCCATCCATCCTCGGCAACCAGCAAGGACCCAGAGAAACTTGGGTGAGACCCTATCACTCTCCTGGCCAAAGAGGTACAAGCGAATTCTTTCCCTAGAAAATGTGCTCCCTCCCTGGATGACTTCATTTCCTGCATGAAGGAAAGGAGCAGCCACACCTGGCATGCTCCTACCTCAGGGCCTTTCCACTGGCCATGTGTCCACCCGGGACTCTTGTCCACAGAGCTCACCCCCTCACATCCTCTGCGATCCTCTCCTCCAGACCTGATTCACTTAGTCTCATCCCTCTAGACAGTGAGCTCTGGGGCCTCAGGGACCATTTCTTCCTGTCCCCAGTTCACGCCCAGCACTGCAGACTGGGCTCGGCCTGTGGTAGGTGCTCAGAAAACACTTACTGAACGAAACACCAAATGAATAAACCAACAACTTGGCAAAGCACTGCAACTCTGATTTTTAAACCCAATAGATTTTCTCATGGAAGTCACAGACGTGGGGTAAGTTGATGCCAAGGTTTACGAACCAGGCTGTGCCATCATCCGTGGAGTGATCTGCAGCCTGTTCTAGCAATGTCTATAATGAACGAACTTTAACATCGTCACGTGAGTGTATAACAGCATGTTCTGTAAGACTGCACGGGCGTAGCACACTCAAGTGGGTTTATCCTGATGGCGTTCGTGATTGTAACAGACGCCCCCCCTGTCCTGAGGGCCACGTGGCCAACCCGAGAGCCACGGACGCTCACCTCACCTCCCTTAAGCCTCACGCAGTAGCCACTATTGTCCTGGGTGGCGAAATGCGGAAACCAACACGCTGGGCACTTTGGTGAGCTGCCCGGGCCGCCCGGCAATTCGTGAGGGAGCCAGGTCCAAGCGCCGGGCCTGCCCAGCACCCAGGTGTTGCTGTTGAAAGCGGTTTCCATGCTGAGACTTTCTGCTGTTCCTTGACAAGCTGATTTGGGTGGGTGGGTGGGTGATGAGGGAGAAGGGAAAATGCTGTCTGTGATGTCTACAGCACGTAGATACTGACTCAGCAACAGAATGCAGTGCTTGAAAGGCATGGACAAGCACACACACGCACACACACGCGTGCACACGCGCATGCACACGCATGCGCATGCACACGCGTGTGTGCACACATGCATAGACACGCACACATGCACACGCACGGACATGCACACACGTGCGCACATGCACACGCGCGCGTGCGCACAAACACCGCACACGCACGCACACAAACCACACACATGCGCACGCGCACGTGCACACACACGCGTGCGCACATGCACACACGCCCCACTGCAGAAATGGGGTGGTAGCCTGGCAGGAGCATCAGGTTGACCAGAAAGTGACTGCTGGGGAGACACCCTGTGTCCGGGCTGAAGTTGGGGGAGCTTGGAGGGGGGCACCTCCTGGGAGCCTGGTGGCTGTCGGGTCCCTGGGAGTCCCAGAGAGGCCTCCGGAGGCTTTAGGGCAGGTGAACCTGGGCTTTCCGCTTCTGCTCCTCTCCCAGGACAGTAAGTCATGCAGGGGAGGACGGTCCAGCTGCCGCTGAGGGGCCCCGTGTGCACGGCAGGCTTGCACTAATGTACCCCAGCCCCAGCTGGGGGGCACTCTTACTAGATTTGCTGTGCAGCTGAAGCTTCACAGAGCTGAGTGACTTGCCAGGGTTGAATTCCCGTCTGAATAGGGAATCTGTCTCCTGTCGTGCCTCCAGCTGAGGACTTTGCTTTCGCTTCTGGTTGATTCGATGGCTCCAGGGTGGCAGCGCAGGGGGCAGTCTGCCCTCACAAAGCCTCCAGGGCTCCCACAGAGGCGTCCTCCTCGGCTGGAGTCTCATTCCCGGGGCGGCCCTGGGAGTTTGCTGGGCACAGGAACAGCGCGTCTCCCCACGCTGCGCACGGGGCACACCACCCTGGAAGGGGCTGGAGGGCTCTCTGCCCGTCCGAACACCCGAGAGCGCGCCTTTCCACACAAGGCTGCTCGGAGAACCACATGCAACCCAAGCGGGGGCTTTCCCAGCCCGGTTCCCCAGCCAACACCAAGAGCTGCGGCAGGGTCCCCA